ACTGTATTAAGGGGTCGCGGAACTAGAAAGGTTGAGAACCACTGATCTAAGGCTTTCTAGCCTTGATGGGTAGTGAAGTGGAAAAATAATAATCGCCAAAGACATTTGAGAAACAAATTCTTGAACTCTTCAGATCAACTTTACTTTTACTATATCATGGTCAAGTGCATTTTCTTAACAAAAAGGAAAGATAAAAAAAATGGCCAATCTGAAAGTCTGCCGCAGCAAAAACAAAAAAAATTAATTAGCTGGTTGCGGCTCACTTGGTGTCCACCAAGATTTCCCATGACAGGTTCCTGAAGTGACACATAAAAAAAAAATGTTTCTGACAACAATAAAAATATGGAAGTCGGAAGAGGGGGGGGGGGTTTGGGCCCTGACAAAAATAACTACAAAAAATTCGTTTGGTTTGCTCCTTTCTTTAAGACTTTGTGAAATGGGGAGTTGTACTTGTAAATCCTTGACAGCTCTGTGAGATAAAGTCGAACCTAAATTGTGCAGGAGTTAAACTGGCAACAAGAACCTCAGACGAACTTGGTAATATGTTAGAAAACTCTAATTTGACAATGTGAGTTGTCTCGTCATCACTTCTGAACAGTACAATGTTCATCTAGACCCCAAAAAAAATAAAAAAATTTTGTTTCAATCTTTTTTTCTAATTTTTCAGCAACAATAACTGTCGGAGAGCTGATTGATATGGACCTTAAGCTATTGATGAATCGTGAGAAAATTATTGACTTGAAATACAAAAAGTTGCAAGAAATACCAAACCCAAGAAACAGCAAGCGATCACTTCTATCTAGGCACCACAAGCTATCACTTCTATCTAGGCACCAGTGAAAAATATTGTTGACCACATGAATTATGCAGTAAGCATTGACAAGTTAGTAACTCTCAGGACCCTGATTTAAACATTAATTCGCAACACAGCTTTTACAATCTTTTTCGTTCGCTATTACGGATGACTGTTAGTACTTAATGAGACGTTAGTTTGAAAATATAAGCATCTAAATTGAATTTCCCAAAACAACTGTTAATTTCACACATGTACACTTACTGACACTTGACTTACTGACACTTGACTTACTGACATTCCCCAGATGCCTCCTAGAGACATTCTTAGACTTATTGACATGCCTCAGAAGCCTCCTGGAGACATTCTTTGACGTACTGACATGCCTCAGAAGCCTCCTAGAGACATTCTTTGACTTACTGACATGCCCCAGACACCTCCTAGTGACATTCTTTGACTTACTGACATGCCCCAGACGCCCCCTAGAGACATTCTTTGACTTACTTGCATGCCTCAAAACCCTATGTGCCTTAAAACAGACTTTAACCTCTTAAAAATTCATTCAATGATTTCTTTATCTTCTTCTCAACTTATTCCATACAATAATTCTTTTGACTTAGCCGGAAAAAAATCAGTCCCTCTGTGTAAACTTTATTTTGAATTGACTAAAACCTTAATAAAAATGTTTATATTGTAACTTGATATCATCCTGTCCTGGAATCATAAAATTCCTTCCAACCAGACAATAAAAGTTATTTCATGCTAAGATAGACATCAAAACTGCAGCCAAAGAGATTTTCAACAAAGCTATTAATTTATATTCAATCACAAGTTACAAAACAGATATATTAAAATATATTTATGTAATTATTACGTGTTTGTGGTTGCTATGTATTCAAAGGATGTGATATTGAAAACAGCACGCGCTCAAGTGAAGATCACAGTGAAGCAAGTTTAGTTGAAAACCACCAGATTATGACAATAATCAACTGAGAAGCAATCGCTCACAGAAAATTACAAGAAATTTCAATGGTGAAAAAATTTTGCATAGTTCATGCAAACATGTTTCAAGAGTTGAAAGTTACTTTTGTAACAGTAACACAAGTTGGACACGAACTGCAGCGTACACAGATGGATTTACATACACAGATAGATTTACATTGAGCTGGGAATAAAATCGATCTTTGACAAGGCATATCACAATTTAATTAATGCACAACACATAGATATTGCACAAAAGTACTAATTAAATATTTTCTTTGTATAAAGCTGTGGTTTATATGACTTAAATGACCATAAATACTATGTCTGTGTCAGACTTTTAATGTATGGCTGCAGTGAACACTATGTGCATGTTGGACATCTTATATGAAACTAAAGCAAATACTATATGTGGGTCAGACACCTTAAATGAAACTAAGCAACTACTATATGTTTGGCAGACACCTTAACATGAAACTAAAGTAAATACTATATATATGCGTGTGTCAGACACCTTACATGGAAATAAGTAACTACTATTTGTGTGTTAGATAACGTACATGAAACTAAGTAACTACTATATGTGTGTCAAACACCTTACATGAAACTAAGCAACAACTATGTGTGTCAGACACCTTATATGAAACTAAAGTAACTACTATATATGTGTTTCAGACAACTTACATGAAACTTAAGTAACTACTGTATGTGGGTCAGGCATCTAATATAAGATTAGTAACAACAGTAAATACGGTGCATGAGTAAGACATCTTATTTTGAACTACAACTAACGCTAAGTGTCAAACGGGTGGTCTTCTCAGGTGTCCCCCCACATTCCATCCGTGTGGTCAGTCTTCCTCTCAACACTGCTGGACCACCTAAAAAACAACAACAATTAACCCCATGATTACATTTTGGGGAATTTTTCATTAAAAAAAAAAAAGTCAAACTAAATAATGTCAGTCTAGGTCATAGGTCATACAATGATTAAGTGAGGAACATTCTACATGCAAATATCTTTCTGATAGTTAGGATAGTACAAGTGCCTTCAACAGAAAAAAAAAAAAAAGGAAGTGTGTGTGTGGGGNAAAAAAAAAAAAAAAAAAAGGAGGGTGGGTGGGGGGGGGGGGGGGGTTTGAAGGGCGCAAATTTAGACATTTCTGGTTAAATTCAACATGGCCACTACAGATTTATTTCAAGTAAAAGGTAACTGCAGCTAAAGTTTTGTTTAAAAAAACTGAGTTGAACCCCTTGGTGTTAAGTACATGGTGCCCAGGGCAACTACCCAGTATCACATGGACAAGAGAAGACCAAGATGTACACAACCAAGGGAGAAGACCAAGATGTACACAACCAAGAGAGATGACCAAGATGTACACAACCAAGAGTCCAGTTCCAATTAGTTTTCCTCCTTAATCCACACACTCTGTGTTTATGTATGGGAATCTAGCAGATATTGTATCATAATTCACATATTTGAACATCTGTTCAATTACAATCCAAATATTTTTTAAACATGATTTTAAAAAAGCAAAAACCAAATATGCCATTTTAAAGAGTTTTAGATCAGGGGTCCACAGCAGCAAGTGGTCCTAACACCAGGTTCAGTTTTGTTGACGATTTGAGGATCACTGGTCTAGAGTGGTCTACATTTAGGTATAAAAGTTTATAGAATTTTTTTTGGATAATATATTTTAAGTTAAACTTTCCTGCTTAAGTTAAGAATGATAAATATAAATCTGATTGAAGCTTTCAAACAATACTAACGTGATCGTAAAAAAATTACATTATCAACATATTAAAAAATGACTTTTTTTTCCCCTCATCATTATGACATCAAAACAACGGTTGGTAATTATTATGATTACAACAAACAATATTAACATCAATAAAATTTTAAGAAGAAATTTGTCCTCCACAATTCTAAGACTATACATCACTCACAAGAGGAGGTTCTTAAGGTATGAAAGGCAAAGTTTAAATAGGCCAAGGAAAACATTCAATTACTATCTATGCTGACCAACCAGGGCCCCAGTCAGAAACAAACCTGACCATCCAGGGTCACAGAGACATCCCTAACCAGCCAAAGTCACAACCAGAGACAACCTGGGTCAGAGACAACCCCCGACCAATCAGGGATCAGAGATGACCCCGACCAACCAGGGATCAGAGACGACCCTGACCAACCAGGGGTCAGAGACGACCCTGACCAACCAGGGATCAGAGACGACCCTGACCAACCAGGGGTCAGAGACGACCCTGACGAACAAGGGGTCAGAGATGACCCTGACCAACCAGGGGTCAGAGATGACCCAACCAATAAGGGATCAGAGACAACCCTGACCAACCAGGGCTCAGAGATGACCCTGACCAACACCAGGGGTCAGAGACGACCCTGACGAACAAGGGGTCAGAGATGACCCTGACCAACCAGGGGTCAGAGATGACCCAACCAACAAGGGATCAGAGACAACCCTGACCAACCAGGGCTCAGAGATGACCCTGACCAACCAGGGGTCAGAGACGACCCTGACCAACCAGGGGTCAGAGACAACCCTGACCAGCCAGGGGTCAGAGATTATCCTGACCAGCCAGGGGTCAGAGACGACCCTGACCAACCAGGGATCAGAGATGACCCTGACCAACCAGGGGTCAGAGACGACTCTGACCAACCAGGGGTCAGAGACGACCCAGACCAACCAGGGGTCAGAGACAACCCTGACCAGCCAGGGGTCAGAGATAACCCTGACCAGCCAGGGGTCAGAGACGACCCTGACCAACCAGGGATCAGAGATGACCCTGACCAACCAGGGGTCAGAGACGACTCTGACCAACCAGGGTTCAGAGACGACCCTGACCAACCAGGGATCAGAAACGACCCTGACCAACCAGGGGTCAGAGATGACCCTGACCAACCAGGGGTCAGAGACGACCCTGACCAACCAGGGGTCAGAGATGACCCTGACCAACCAGGGATCAGAGACGACCCTGACCAACGAGGGGTCAGAGACGACACTGACCAACCAGGGGTCAGAGACGATCCCGACCAACCAGGGATCAGAGACAACCCCGACCGACCAGGGGTCAGAGACGACCCTGACCAACCAGGGATCAGAGACGACACCGACCAACCAGGGGGTTACAGGGTGATCACGGCCCACACAGCTTTCAAATCACAACCTAACAGCTGGAGGATCAAAGGGAGGTAAGTAGTTGCTGACGGTCTCTATTTCTTCCTGGTGAAAATGTTGCTAATGTTCGCCTTTGAGGTTGTGTCTTTAATCTTGGAAATGACAGACGTCTTGACGTCATCAACTGGTCCGGCCGGCAAAGTTCTGCAATGGAAGATAATCTCTAATTAGACCCCTGAGTACCGTTTAATCCGTTATATTAGCACGGTATAATCTAATGTTATATTTTACCACTCTGTGATCTCTGCTAGTGAATATATATTTTTTAGTAACACATACATTGACATAGTGTGTGAATTAAACTCGATGAAATATAATTGAAGATCTTTTCATAATTATAACAACAAAACAACACATTTACAAGCACTGGTCCGCAGCTTGCTATGAGCAGTTGAAAACTGCCACGATACACAGAGGATCAACTATATAACAAAACAAAAATCTATTTGTTGATAATGCTGGATTATGGGCCAATTTTTTAAAATGTGTGGGTTTTTTTTAAAGTGTTTAGGGAGAAACATTTATTATTCGAGTTATTTATTTTTTAAAGAGCTTCTATGATGAATTTTTCCTAAAAGATTTGTCAATAAATTCTTATTTTACTTTTACACTTGCATATACCTAGACGTAACGGAATTATTACTGCGATGTTAAAATCAATTAAAATGGGCCATTGCATTTAACTGCAATTTTTTTTTTAATTTGTCAACAGGAATTCCCAAAGACAAAATATAATAAAATAATGTGCTAGATTATTGCATCAGAAATTATTTATTTAGAAAGGGAGAGAATCGCATATTTTAACCCCCAGTTGTTCGACTTCCTTCCAGCATGCCCCCCCACCCCCAACCCCACCTTTTTAAAAAAACATCTGCTGAATAAAGCCAACGAAAGCCTAATAAAACTACTACACAATGACGCCGAATATTCCCATTGTTCTAAAGCGAAAAAAAATCTCATTCAGAAAGTTAGTAGCACCTGGGGTATGAACTGGACATATTCGTTTATTGGGGGTTTTGTGTGTGTGTGTGTCCCGACTTGCATTGAAATATGTGGCGAGTCTCTTAGGAACTAATCATTCTCTCGCTAACTGGTCACCTGATGTCATCAATGTAGGGCACCCGTGGCGCAGTTACAGTGACGCAGGATAAACAGGAGCAAATATAGGTGACAACATCCATCACTCAGTCATCACACTGGAGCCAAATATAGGTGACAACATCCATCACTCAGTCATCACACTGGAGCCAAATATAGGTGACAACATCCATCACTCATTCATCATACTGGAGCCAAATATAGGTGACAACATCCATCACTCATTCATCACACTGGAGCCAAATATAGGTGACAACATCCATCACTCATTCATCATACTGGAGCCAAATATAGGTGACAACATCCATCACTCATTCATCATACTGGAGCCAAATATAGGTGACAACATCCATCACTCATGCATCACACTGAAGCCAAATATAGGTGACAACATCCATCACTCATTCATCACACTGGAGCCAAATATAGGTGACAACATCCATCACTCATTCATCACACAGGAGCCAAATATAGGTGACAACATCCATCACTCATTCATCACACTGGAGCCAAATATAGGTGACAACATCCATCACTCATTCATCATACTGGAGCCAAATATAGGTGACAACATCCATCACTCATTCATCATACTGGAGCCAAATATAGGTGACAACATCCATCACTCATTCATCATACTGGAGCCAAATATAGGTGACAACATCCATCACTCATTCATCATACTGGAGCCAAATATAGGTGACAACATCCATCACTCATTCATCATACTGGAGGCAAATATAGGTGACAACATCCATCACTCATTCATCACACTGGAGCCAAATATAGGTGACAACATCCATCACTCATTCATCATTACTGGAGCCAATTATAGGTGACAACATCCATCACTCATTCATCACACTGGAGCCAAATATAGGTGACAACATCCATCACTCATTTATCACACTGGAGCCAAATATAGGTGACAACATCCATCGCTCATTCATCACACTGGAGCCAAATATAGGTGACAACATCCATCACTCATTCATCACACTGGAGCCAAAAATTGGGGACAACATCCATCACTCACTCATCACACTGTCAACACCTTTAATGTTGCACCTTACAAAAATTGCCCCACACGATAAAACAGAGATGATATCTACCCAATGACAGCGTTTCTCAAACTTTTAAGTTTCGCCACGTTTTGACATTGCACCAGGGACCGGTGCCAGATCTATTAATTACATTTTCTTCTCTATTCAACATATTATAACTATTCATGTTGCGCAGAACGCCAACGTAAGGCTTGAGGACCGGCGCCGGTCCGCGAACCACCGTTTGAGAAACACTGCTATATGGTACTGAATAAAACCTATTGGGTTGGGGAAGGAAAGGCTAAAACATAATATCTCTCTATACAACAAACCTCGCCTCCAGCTTATTCTGATAGTCCCGTATCATGGCAGACACGACCTCCTGGTGTCCAGCGGCGATGGCCTCCATGTCCATCTTGAGACAACGTAGTCCTGGCAGCATGGCCTCGGCTATCAACTGTTCACTCAGAACTTGGGCAGGTTAAGAAATTGTCCAGTTTCACTGCACATTTTATACAACACAAAAACATGACATATAGACACACACACACACACAGATGTACAACATAGAACATACAAAGACACATATGGTAACACGGAAACACACACGGACAGACTAGAACACCGACATTAATATCTGCTGAAGCGTTACTGAGCAGGACGCTCTTGAACGGCGCTCACGAAGAACAGCGTCCAGGACCCCGTCCGACGTATTCGTAACCGTTAAAGTCAGAACCAGGATCAAGGACCACCCCCCCCCCC